TTTTTTTTTATTTTGAGGAAAAGTCAAATTCATTGTTTATTTTTATATTATTTTTAAGTTATCTGAACAAATACTTTCGGGGAAAAAAAAAAAGTTTGTTGTATAGTCGAAACCAAAACGGTGCCACCCGGCTGTGACAATTCCTAGTAGATTCCGTGCATGTGGGACGGCCGCGAAGAGGCGACACCGTTTGGGGCTGTGTCATTTTATTTTATTTTTTTTTTTGGTAGAATGTAAAAAAAAAAAAAAAGTCATTTTAGCTGCCACCCATGACTTTTGCCACATAGCTGAACTGTGTTTACTGGAAAAATTCAGAGGCCTAAAGTTTAAAATAAAATTTACTTCTGATGTTTTAATTAAAATGTCTGCCACATGAACTTCTCTGATGCCTTAAAAGCGGACTTCTTTAAAGATCCTCTGTGCTACTGGAGGATAGGCTCACAGGCTTACACCACAGTCGTCGATCAGGTTTCACCCGGAGACGCACGGTGTCACACACACAAAAGCACAAACCTGGTGACTCCCGGGTCGCTCCTGGCTGCGTCCAATTCGGCTGCGTCCTGCGGGCCCCACGCTCACCTCGGGTCCCCAGAGGTCCCCGGGAGGGGGGATCCCAGCGGCCCTGGCTTTTCATTTTCTTTTTGAACAATACTTTTGTGTGTGGTCAGACCCAGCAGCACTGTCTGTACTTTTTAAACTGGAATGACCTTCACAGCCCGTGCCCGTTAGTGCCAAACCCGCAGGGAGACCACAGGGTCCGCTTCCCCCCCCCCCTTTGCTTTCAGCAGACACAGCGCAGTGGACATTTTGCAAACCGCAGCAGAAATCAAATTTAAACACGAAGAGGTGGGGCTTTTTAAAAACTTCCTTGACAGAAAAGAAAAACAATGCACAACTTAGAAAGGGGTTCATTCGAGGGACTAGGTAAACAGGCAGGAGGTCCCCAGCGGTCAGCGGGCCCCACTCGGGCCCTGGGGCGGCTGACAAGGCTTAGCTACTCGGAGAAGCCTAAAAGTGACTTTGGAATAAACTGCCTCCGGTTTCTTTGGTATCGGTCAGGGTTCGATCCGGAAACGAGCTCGCGCACCTGTTCAGAACGTCGCCACGCCCTCGCACCCGCGCTCAGTCTGCGTTTTAGGTTAATCAGCCGACACCCTCATCGCTTTCCTGTCTCGAAACTGAGCGCTTCACTCGATGGTAGATTTTACTGTTATAGACCCTACAATAAGATTGTTTTATCTGTACATTTTTTCAGATATTTAACTGTATAAAAATGTTCATTTTACACAATATTTAATTAAAGTATTTCTTGTCTGTGAATTTCACTTTGGGTAATTTCATGTCTTGATTGTTGAGACGAATGACTGAATGCACACGGGCGCGAGCTCCCCTGGGGATGCCGTTCGCGTGCTCCGGGGCCCCGAGCTGTGTGCTGGCACAGAGGATTCGCGGAAAAACCTTCTACAGAGTGATCGAACCTGCAGAGGGAGATTCTTGTAGCGACTTAGATGGTCCTGATCCCCAGGGGGGCCACCTGTACGTCTGCTGTGCTGACGCGTGACTGTCAGACGCGGGGCCCAGCAGCGCCGTGGGACGTAAACAACCGCTGGGCTCACTGGGTGCTTGGTCACCTGCTCCCCAGCCCCTCTGCTTCTGAACCGCAGGGTTTGGGGGGCAGAGAGCAAATGCTCCTTCAGTCCCCAGCACGTGCTCCACCCGGGCAAGCAGCAGCTTCAGGAGGGCGCAGAGGCAGGGCTCTGGGGGGGATCCGGTCGGGCGGACAGCGGGGCACCAGATACAGGTGCCAGCTGAGGTCTGACCTGAGGGCGCCGTGCCACCAGCAACCCCGTCATAATAGAGCCTGTGGGCTACACGTGGGTGCAGCCAAAGGCACCGACTATCGCGAAAGCTGCCATCAGCACCAATGTCCTAATTTACATGCTGATTTTGGCTCCTTCGAGTGCTCCCCCCCTTCTATTTCATTCCACATCTCTCATTTCCCCCTCAATGAGAGGCTGGGTTGGCATGTTTTGGCTTGCAGCTCTTAACACATACACGTAAGTGTGATCCAAATTAGTGCTCACAAATGTCCTCTTAATTACTTGTTCTGCTGAGCAAAACAGGAAACAATTACTCAAAACATAAAGAAACTTGTGACTGCCTCCCGCTCCTGTCAGTGACAGTCAGGTTCCTTTGACTGCGTTCGTGTTTCAGCTTTAAAGAGACAGCAAGGAAAGGGGCTCCCGGGGTACAAAGCCGCACACAGCCTGCCCACTCCCCTCCTCCAGGCTCCGTCCCAAGGTGCCAGGGGATGGGCTGGGGGACACGATCCCCCTGCCTCCCCACTCTTCTGGGCCAGGAGCACCAGCTCCGGATGGGGGCCAGGGCCCCGCGACTGGGGAGACGGGAGTGAGCGTATGTTTGTGTTTCAAATCAGGACTAAGAAGCGCCCCCACTCAGAACGCGCGCTGGTTATTGTCAGGCCGCCTTTTAAGGTCTTTTCGAGCTTTTAAAGATTATTCAAAGCACTCGAAATGGGCTTCAATCTAATGCCTCATTTCATTGCATTAAACAGCCTAGTTAATAAAGAATCGATATATTCAAAGGGCAAGGTTATCTTTTGTCTATAAGGGGTGGTGTCATTCTGCACCTTTTATAGTTCAGATGCTGAAAAAGACCTCATGAAATCCATACCCATCAAGCAGGTCATCGAGAGCAACGACCAGGCCCCGCAAGGAACGAGCCTGCCCTCCTTTCAAACAGCTCCGGCCTTATCGCCGCGCCCGCCCCGAGCGCCAAACGCGTCCTCAGAAAACGTCAATTTCTCATCAAGACAAGAGGCTGCGATGGTCAGTTTCTGCAGAGAATACGTACAATTAAGAGCAGGGAGCAGGGCAGCCATTTGGAGCTGCCATCCCCTCGAGCCGCCCCCTCCCCGCAGATAATAAGAGTTGTTGATAACTGAAGTGTCAATACGCCCAAGAGCGGTTTCTGAATGTGAGTCCTTGTGCTTGGCGCTCCCGCCGATCCCGGGCCTGATAAGGGCGCAGCTGCCAGCGGACACCAGGGCGGGCCTCACAATTAACGCCATGAATAAATCACACAAAGGAGTCCGGCTGCTTTAGACTCGGTGAGACAATCCCCCGTTTACCCTTCAAGGGCTCCTTTTATGTAGGAATAAGGCTGCTTTTAATGAAATTTAAACTCATCAGAGGAAATCAAAAACCTCCAATCAGATTACAAATTGATTTTTTGGTCATTTGTCATTTCCCAGCGTGGAGCTGCAGGTTTCCCAGGGAGCGCCGCGCACGCGGCCCCCAGCCCCGGCCTGGGGCAGGCAGGAGCAGCCCGACCCCCTGCACGCCCCGACAGGGTTCCGACTCCGTGTCCGTCCCGGGTGGTTCCGGAAAGTGAACCCACGACCGGACTGGGTGACATTCAGCCCCGAATCCAGCCTCAGCCCAACCTGGGGACACCCGCCATCCTTGGCAGAGCCGGCTGACCTCCGGGGCTGCAGCCAGGGTCCGCTGGCAGCCAGCAGAGGCAGTTCCTGGGACTGCGGTAAGTTTTGGTTCGTGCCCACTCCCTGAATCTGCTCTGCGCCACACCAACACGGAGCCACACGGAGCCACACGGAGCCTCACAGAGCCCCAGGCCATACACACGGAGATTATGATCTGGGGCGGCGAGGAGACACGGCCAACTCCTACTCAGCCATTTGGTCTCAGCCCAAATGCTCACCCCTTCGCAAAGCCCGTCCTGCCTGCCAGGCGATCGAGGGGGACATTCCCTGTGCTCTCGCCACACCCTGGAGCCATCTGAGGCCACCAGCCTCCCAGGGTTCTCCCCTCATACCTGGATGGACTCGGGCTTCCCAAGGGCGAGGCAGGGCCAGGCCTTCCTCACCATCCACCCCTACATCGAGGGCACCTGGTCCAGACGGGAGGGTCACACTGAGCACCTGGGCTGGGTCCAGAGGAGCGTCTGTCCCTCCTGGAAAGACTGGGGCCAGGGACAGAAGCAGGAGGGAAGCGAACATCATTTTCTGAGTCAAGTTCACTCAAGACCGCCTTTTATAAAACACTAAAGTGAGTCGAATCTCCGACACGTTTACATGCAACAAATGCGCATGGCATCTCGGCCGCCCCTGCGGCACCTACCAGGAGGTGTGCGGGGTGTGCGTCCAAGGCCACTTTCGGGTACCCCAAGTCGGTAACGAACTCGCAGCCCCAGAGGACTCAGAACTTAATCGCATGTCATGAAGCCGTACCACAAGTGGCCAAACTAAGAAATACTTTATGGTTCGTTTTTCCTCCCGCACTTAGTCATGGACACGGTGTCACCCAGCCTGGGATAGGAAATGCCTTCTCCGCGGGACGGTGGCCCGTGCGGCAGGATGGATGAGGTGCATCTTTAACCCTAATGGACGGACGTGGAGACCGCTGTCTTCATTCCCCTAAAACCCAGGCCTTCACCTCGGGGCCTGGGCCGCAGGATACGGCTGCGAGCGCCACACCACGGTGCTCCGCTTTGTGACAGATCTTTCCTTTCTAAAGAACACCACTTCTTCGGCATGTGGGACAAACTCTGCAGCACGCTAAGTGTCTTTGGGGAGAGACCACTTGTGGGGGGCCTGCCATGGCCCAGTGTCTAGAAGCCACCGTCTTGGGGGGCTCCGAGCCCACAGTGGGGGTGGGGTTGGGGGAGGTGGTGATAAAGGCCCACAGGCCTCGGTTGTCCTGGCCTTGGGCTGACCAGGCAGCTCCGGGGGCAGGAGCGGACCCAGCGTTGGCTGCGACGGAGAACGTGATCCTGACGTGGCTTTTATCGTAGAACAGTTCTGATCAGGATAGATCTCGCTGTCAGGAGGCCCAGAGCCGTCAGCGGTGAGCTATGGGGAAGGCGATTTCCTGCCCACGCCGGCCGCTGGAGCCCAGTGCGCTCCGAGTTTTTTTTTTTTTTTAAGTCTAACAAGAATCAATATTTAAGATTATGCAATGTCCATACCAGCCCGAAGTAGCTGCCAGCCCAAGGACAAGGGTTGGATAATTTACAATGCAAGGGATCCATTCTTTTTGAGAGGGGGAAGGGAAAATCAAGATTTAAGCTTTTTATCCTGGGCTGAACTTCTCTCCTCCCTTCTTAATGGCACCAGACGTAAATAAACCATCCATTTTGTTTTGTGTGAACCGTCTGTACTTCGCACAGACTCTGAAAAAAACGACAGGCCCGTGTTAGATCCTGGCCGCGGGTCCAGGCAGCGACCGCCTGTCAGCGTCCCTCATTTGCATGTTTGCCACGCACGGCACTGTCATTGAGCCCCATCAAAACCTGCCCTCCGAGTCTTCTGCCCCGACGATCAGCAGAGAAAGCCTTTTTATTGTCAGCTACTAATGGTTCTTGTGTCCCATGATTTTAATGTGAAGATTAAATATTTATAAAGGCCTCATCAATAGCATCCCATCAGAGGGCCCTCCGAAGCCGCAGACGGGGCCATGCTCACTCACACGGAGTCAGAGGTCGCGGGTCACGCGAGCAGGAGGCAGCATCTGCTGTCACCAGGGCCCGGGCCCTTATTTATGGGGAGGGCTTGTTCCTTTGTCTCCAGTTCCTGGAATCACTGGCCTCTGCCACCCTAGACCTGACCCGCCAGGTGACCCGCCTGGGGACCTACCTGGTCCCTGTCCATCTCAGGATGTCTCTGGAGGAAGCAGGAGGTACCATCCTTTCCCGCCACCTGGAGTACAGACAAGAAGAGAAGGGGTTTGAGCAGAGAACAGCCGGTGGACGGGACACTCCAGGCCTCCCCAGGGGCAGGGGAGGGACACCTGGGTCCTGAGGGGAGGGGCTGGGAGCCCTGGGCACTGACATGGGCCCATCCAGCCACGGTTCAGGATCCATCCTTAGTCCTGGCTTGCACCTGGCTGCCTCCTCACCTTGCTTCTTTCCTTGCCTCTGGGCTCCACCAGGTTGGCCTCAGCGACTGTAAGGAAACATCCCTACCCGGAGGGCAGGCAACTCGGGCTTCACTTTGACCACCGGCCCTGATCCAGCTGCTGGTTTCCAGTGTGGTGTGTGACCATGACCTCAGGGCTGGCTGAGCAGACTGCAGGGCGAGGCCCCACAACGTGGACTGCAGGCTGGGGGAGGGACAGAGAAGGTGGCCACAGGGTCTTGACGGGTGCCTGTGCCTGTGCTCTGCCCGTGGAGGGGTAGCACTCCCCAGCCACAATGAGCAGCCTGAGGACCTAAAGGGTGTGGGGGGCCTGCAGCGGGGGCCCTGCAGGCTGGGCTGTGGGGGTGGCCAGCCGGGAAAGGGATGAGCAGCCTGGACGCACAATGCTGGCAGCATTTGGTCAGAACCACTGGTGGGTTTTAAATAGGGTGTGGGCCCCTGTGTGAAGCATGGTCTGGACACCCGGGATAGGCCTGAGGGGCCTGGGCGGCGGA